CTATCTAGTATGAATTCATAATGATAGGGAACCCTAAAACGAGCCCTAAACCCTAAACCCCTAAACCCCTAAATCCCTAGGCCATGATGCACGTCTACCCGAGTCCCTGCTCGGCCCATCGAGCCTCTCCCACTGGGAATCCAGGATGCCGATGGCGTCCTCCAGGTTGCGAGCCAGCTTCACAAAATGCCCAGTCCTTAAGAGCTTGATAAGCTCGTCGGCAGTAAGATCCTTCTTCTTGATCTGTTGTGGCTGCCCTCTCGGTGGCTGCTGTGCGTCATCTGGAATGCACGCCTCGCAGTCACGATTCTGCACTTCTTCCTTTTCCTCGAGCTTGGCTTTACGACAGCCTCCCAGTCGGCCTAATCGCTTGCCGACGCTTCTGCTGGTTCTTCGAGCTTCTCCTGCTTTGTGTCAGCCTCCCAATTGGCCCAATCGCTTGCGGTCGCGTCTTCCGCTTCTTCGAGCTTCTCCTGCTTTATGCCAGCATGCTCTCCAACAGCCTGCAGAGTCCAGCTCATTTCGTCTTTGATGGGCCGTGCTGTGTTCTCGGAGAGCACCTCCTCTTGAGAGAGCTGAGATAAGGATGAGGATGAGGGCGCTGCGGTGCTTTGGGAAGGCATGTCATCACGCGAACCGTTGACAGCTTGCCGCTTCAGGTTGCCAGTCCGATCTATACCAAAGATCGGCCGCTTCATGGCGCCGAGCTCAAGCTACGATGGCTTCGTGAATGTCTCGTGGCTGTGCTTTCCCTTGAGACCTATCTCCAGTATGTTGCCAGCAGTGGGTGGGGATGGATGGAACGAGTTTCTTGCCATTTTCAAGGATCCGTGGACTCATGCCAGGAAACCACGTTCTGAGAGCCTAAGTCTCGTAGCGGCCCAAATCCTTGACATCACAGAGCTTTGGTGGCGTTTCAAAGAGTGCATGTGAGCAACCCAAAAACAGAGTTTTGGGCTGCCAAGACTCTCATGTCCGCCAGAAGATGCCAGAAGTCTACCATGGGAAAAACTCCTAACATGCACTGGGCTCTCTGTCGATCATCCCGCGTTCAAAGCAGCTGACAGCTCTCAGTTTTTTCCCGGGCCGCGCCATCGACTCCGGAGCCTCCTCGCCGGCCGTGCAACGTGCAGAAAACCCGGAAGAAACGCACGGTGCAACTCTCTTGGGCCTCCGTGAATTAGGAACGAACGTCGAGATTGATATAAAAATCCTGCATGATGAGGAGGAGAAATCTTGGGCCGGAGGAATACGTAGCTTGGAAGACTCTAGCGTTTTGGGCCTATGATGGGTTTTGGCCTGATGTGATAACAAAGCTCCTTGGGGAAAAGAGGGCAGCGTTGGATCGGGCTTTGGAACCCCGCTGTTTCGGCTCCACGGAATTCAACTCGGCCTATCTGAAGTCTGGGACAGAGCCTTAAACGGACGTGTCAATGATCCTGTTGGTCATTCAGAGAGCCGATTCGACCCCCGTTAGATCTGATTGGAGCAACTCCCTTTGCACAAGATGACAACTTCTTCGAGCTCAACTTCAAGTCTCTCAACAGAGTACTTCAACGTACTCTGATTGAATTCCATGACAGGCATCGCAAGAATCTCAACAAGCTTTTGCACCAAACCTTTCAACACCGACAACACAATACCAAGAAGGGTCACGACAACGCGCATAGACAGAACAGGGCAAAATGAGTCAGAGGTAGGGTTGCTGTAGAACGACTACTACGCGCAACCATCGCAGCCATAGCAAAGAACCCCGGATCGTCTCCACCGCCCTCACCGAAACAGCCCGAAAGCCCCGAAGCCCAAACTGCTCTGAGGACATGTGCCACACAGCCAAGGCCAAGCTCCACACTGGGAGGGCGGTCAGCCGAGCCTGCAGCAATGATTCAGGGTTTAGGGTTTAGGGATGCTCGATACGTTAGCGGCCTTTTGGGATCTCGAGCAACGAATCCAGGCTTTCAGTCCAGCCCACAGTCGGGCGAAGAGGCACCATGCGAGCTTCATCTTGCAATTTCTATGCCGTTTAAAGTGCCTTCAAGGCCCTTTGCACTGAGAACGCTGAAGCTCTTTGTTCAAGGGTTGGGCGCTGATGCTTCAGGGCATGCTGCCAGGGTTCTGAAGGTCGCCAACCTGAGCCCTAAATCCTAACCGCAAGAGCCCAAACCCTTGGGCCCTCAATTCCAAGGCCTTAGGGAGTTAAATTTCGCGTCGGTCCCGCCCTTTTCAGTCTAGGATGGCCCAATTGCTTGCGGACTCCCCGAGCACCTACAAGCAAGGCATCCCGTGTTACCGTGTTCAGATTGAAAAAGCGCGAGGGGAACCCACACTTCATGTGCAAACAAGCAAATCCAGCGGAGGCGGCGACTTCATATCCCTACAGAAAGGCCAAGAACTGCAATGCTGAGGGCAGCACAACTCCGCTATTGACCGGCATGGGGCCTGGCAGCATTGGAGCTGTCAATTCAAAGGTACTCACGAAAGGAGGTCGTGCGAGAGTTCAGAATTCAACATCAGTACATCGTTAGTACGTCAAGTATATTACGGTCGCTGACTAGCAAGAGCGGTTGCGACTCAGAAAGCAGCTCTGCAAGAGAAAACTTCTGAAAACAGCTCAATGGCTTGATTGGTATCCGGGTGAGCCCCGAGCCTGTGAACTCACAGAGGGTGCCAAATCAGACTTGAAATACTTGAACGTGCATGCAGATACTCACACACATCATAGCCCAAGCCAAAGCAACTAGATCAAACATGATCA